TTATACAATTTAGAATAGTAAACAAGCTGACGGCCCACCTGATGGAAAGTGGTAAACATCGCTTATAGACATGACATAACAGAGATTACTGTGTCGCCGAAAATACCCTTAATACATTGCTATTCCTGAGGACTAAGGTGTTATGCTGCTGTATTCTGTATTTTTTTTTATTTTTGTTTTTTTATACAACTTAGATTTTTTTATACTCCTTTAGTTACCTAGGGCGAGGGATAGGCAGCAGCGTCCCTCTTAAAACATCTCAAAAAGCCTAACTGCGGTTGACAACCCGCCTTACAAGCGTGAGAACTATTGACAAAAATCCCCTTCATGGGGAAGACTTATGTCCAGCAGTGGACAGCTAACGGCTGGAATAATAATAAAATTAGAAAATCTGGTATTTTCATAATTCTTCTCTCTTCCTGTTTAAAGATTTATTTTGATACTTATTGGTAGTCATATAATATTTCGGCCGTGTGCGATCGCCCTATCAAACGATCGCCGTACTAGAATTGAGAGCCTAATGTATGCATAGGTGTCTGTTTATAAACAATCATGGTAGTTAGGCGCCGCAGACGATTACAGTTGTGGGCGTACCCATAGTCATGTCACGTATTGTGTCACGCGTATGGTGACAATTGACATTGTCATATTGACTGTAACTCCCTCTATATAAGTACGAGAAATATAGTATGCCAAAATTCGTTTATTTATTGAATGTTTCATAATGACTTGTGAGCACTGCAGGATAGGTATGTATCTGTTAATGCCTTCAATATTAAATACAGACAAATTTTGTATGCTCGATACACGTTCACTGCCAACTCTTAATATTCGTACGTAATACGAGTAGAATTCGACACCCAGTATAGATTGTAAGACATAAATATTCTCGAAAATGGTAGATTTCAATTACTAACTATTGATAATGAATGTTTTAGCTTTGCAATGAACCTTTACAATTGACATGAAGCAAAAGAAGGTTCACAGTTCGGTTGTTTTTTTTTTTATATTTACGCATTACTTCATAACTCCGTTAGCACTGAATGGATTTGGAAATTTCTTTCTTTATCTAAAAGGACATACTTTATCTGAGATTTTATCAAAATTTGTTTTTTAGTTTCTTTTTTAGATCAAAATAACTGGTTTCGTCACAATCGAAATCGAAATCGAAATCGAGAATATGGTCAGATTTAAAATTTACTTTTCTATTAGTAGAATTGCTTCGAAATATCGATAGATCAGTATCTTAATAATATTATATATATATTGTAATTATACATACATATATAGTTGTATTTTTTTTCATGTAACTTTCTGTAAAATTTGTGGAGAAAATAAATAAATAGTAATATATATAGTATATTTGTTTAATAATATTATATTCCAGTGAATATAATATTATTAAGCAAAAACTAAATAAGTAAAAATACAGGGAAATATTTATTGTATTTCAAACAATTGTACAAAAGGAAGGAAATGTGTATTTCTTGCTTATACGTTTCAGTGACCGATCAATTCGTAGTAAATTTGATTCAGGAATCAGTGTTAGTTATGTACCTACCTAATAATATGTTAAAGCCAAATCTTACAAGTAATCAACGAAATAGTTTCTGCTCTTAGGATTGAAGTAAATTTTTACTGATTCAAATACAAATCTGATGTCAATCTTTTAAATATTAGATATGAATATTTAAAAATTGGTCTGATGATGAATATATGTACTTAATAACCTTGATACCTCTTACGACCTCCACAATAAAAGAATGTTCTATGTCGGAACCACACGGCAAAATATGTTGCTAAGCGCAAAACACGAGGGATTTTTTTTTTCAAATGTTTATTAAGTCTGAAGAATCTTTCTATAAAGAAAAATGCATGAAAAAATGTTAAGGTCTCATTTTTCTTTATAGCATACTCACTGTTTCTGATTACCAAGTTAATTCATACAAACATTTCAGTCAAATATTGAGGTCAAGCATGGACTGCTACAACTTTTAACAGAGTGAAAAGGGATTGTTAGTAATGTGTATTAACAACTCTATTGCTAGTATCCTATTCCTGTCAAATTCAAAGTCAGGTCGACCTCCACATGGTTCCTCCTGGAAACCATCGTGGTTAATTCATCATGATGGACCAAGTGACTATCATCCTTACCTCTTACTGATGCCTCATAAGCGTATACCGTTAGTATGGGTGGAGTTTCCATTCCATCTTCACACGTTAAAAAAAAATAGCTTTTGAATACTTAATAATTTAGGCCACATTTTTTATACTAAATTATCTAATAAACTGCATTGGAGCAGTAAATTTATTCATACTAAATAGCCTCACTATCTAACAGATAATAGTTAAGTGCGATATGCGATAGTGGTCGCCGACCACCGAAGATAGTGCGGCTGCGGTCTCACTTCTATTCGCTACCGCAAAAATTGACAACATTGCGGTCGTTGTATCACTCGGTTCCTACGACTGTTTTGTACAATTATAGATTGACTAGAGACCCGCCCTGACTTCGCACTGGTAGATAAAAAATAATATAAAAGCTGTGTTAGGTACTCCTATGTTATGGCCGTGTGGTCCCAGCATAGAGTAGACTACCCCTTTCTTTCCCATGGGTGTCATAAGAGACTAAGGGAGCTTAATAGTCGAGGGATGGATAACCGCGTCCCTCTTAAAACATTACTAAAACCTAACTGTAGTTGCCGGGGGGAAAGGGATTGTTAGTAATGAAGCCTGAAAATCCTATTGCTAGCAATATACCTAACCAGGTCAACCTCCTCGCGGTTCTCCCTAGAAACTATCATGGTTAATTCCTGATGAATTCATCATGATGGGCTAACTAACCTGTTTTCATTCTCATCTATCACCCTTCACTGGTGCTCCACCAGCGTATCCCGTTAGCGCAGGTGGGGTTACCATACCATTTTCACCCATAAAAAAAAACTGTAGTTGCCAACTCGCCTGCCAAGCGTGGCAACTACTGGCAAGATCCCCCAAGGGGGAGGCCTATGTTTATCAGTGGAGAGTTAACGGCTATATCATTACCATTGTCAATGATAGTACAACGTACTATGGGTGAAATAATGCTCAAAATTTGTTAAGTACTTTTTGGATCTATCCATTACAAAGGAACATACAAAAAAATTAATCTTTTCTTTTTGTAATATTAATATGGAAATATAGCTTATCTAACTCAAATATTTATATTTTTGTGTAACTTAAAATAGTGTACAAACTCACTTAATGAAAAGTGCCTATATACTTCACATAGTTTTTTTGAATAAAATATAGGCTATGTTACTTGTTGATACTCACTCTGCACTTCTCTCTGCACTCTGCTGAGTGAAATAAATCTGTTAAATATGTTTTTTTTTTTTAATTTATACATTACAAATAAAATACCTTTTTATAATATTAGTTTAAATAAATATAAATGTAAAAGTATACAAGTTAATCATGATAGTTTCCAGGGGGAACCGCGAGGAGGTTGACCTGGTTGGATATATTGCTAGCAATGGAATTCTTAGTCTCCATTACTAACAATCCCTTTTCCCCCCTTTTAATAACAATTAGAATAAAATATAATAATTTCTATTTAAATTACAAAACGAATATACAAATACGTCAAAATATTAATGGACATAGATCAGGTTAAGCAAAGACCGATTCATTGAACACATCTTTAGGATGGGTGTGCATATCATATTATTATAATATAATTCTTCATAATTAATCGCAGATTTTCAACTGATTCATATTTTAGACCATAAAAAACTAATAGTATTTATTTACTTGCGTAAAATAATATATTATTTTAATTTAATACTACTTATTCTAAGGTTGAAATGTTCTTACATGCATGTATTAGTCCATTATAACTTTATAGGACTGCTATTTCACGTCTTCACTTTATTGGCTTGCTATATATTGCGTTTATGAATAATTTTTTACTATTACAGGTTTACACATAATCTATATCTGACGTCGCCATTAATCAGTTATAGTGCATTTTTTAATACAGGTTTTTATAATAACATTATTTTATTGTTATAGACGGCTTATAAAGGATTGATAATTTTTTTTATGAATAAGTCGGTAAATCGCTAGAATCAGTTTCAATATATAATAGATAAGATGTAACATTAGGTGCAACAAGTGTCGAGTGAGGCGGCGTGCGATCACGCTGAGCAACCGAATGGTAGTTGCGGTACTGTGTCGGCGGCGGTGCGGTATGCAAGTGGTTATGTCATTTTTCCGCGCCGTCTTCGCGACGTAGGCGTGGCCGCCCCGCCCAGCCGCGCGCACGCCCACTCATCGCGAACTTTCTTAAAGACGTCAGAAATTTAAATTAAGCTATATTTTAAAATTTTAAACTATTGTTCTATTTTATAAATTTACAGTTGAATAAATACTCGGTTTTAATACCGAGTAGACAACGAAACCTTTAAAAAAATTTGCATTCGACGATTTTATTAGATTTGCCGTATTTATTATAATAGGTAATGTGTTTTATGTTATTTCTAAACCAATGATTTTAAAAACATGATCAAGTAAACTGCACCAAAATCTGATCTTTATGGTTTATCTCAATTTTCTGTTTAAATATTTGTATTTTATAATAAGTAATACTTATAATAGTATTTTTTTCTGTTTTACAGAAAATATTTTTGCCTATTAAGAAATCGAAAACTTTATCTCGAGTAGCGAGAAAACTCGCATTTTATATGCATCTCTCTCAACAACAACCGCAACACCCTAAAAGAAGGAGATACGCGACTGTGCTTCGCAATGAAAAAGCTCATAATATTTCCCTTTCAACAATGGAACTAAACAAAAATATTTAATGGTACAAAACTTGCGGGTGTCTCGCTCGTACAGTGTATAATGAACATCAGTGCGAGCGGGAGGTAAATGGCGCGCATTTTCCCAACAAATGAAGCGTGGCCAAACCGCAGATTGACCGCAGAGAATGGAGGCAGCGAGTGACAGAATGGCGGCGATTCAGTAGTAGAGAGTCGCGCGGTCATACTACACGCGCGCCACCTCCGTCGAACGACGAACGTAAAACGCGCCGCGCGAGTTGACTCACCGGCCGCGGCACCACACGGTAATACCTGTGACGGACGCGGACACGGGGACTTACGCTAGCCACTACACTTAGATCAACACAATCAAGGGACCGGCGTTGACGCAACACGCGCGGGAAATATCTTGAATAAATTAACGCTCAGCTGATGTTGACAGCGTGTACGATCCACACGTAGCATACATAGATCGTTGCGCTTCTAAGAACATCGACCGGAACCATTAATCCGAATGCTTGGCCAGAATTTGGATGGTTTAACGCTAAACTTTACCTTCGTGAGTCACCTAAAATGACGAAAGTTAAGTTGAAACAGAAATCTCCAAGGTCTGTTATTGCAAAGTAGTGCGTTGAATCGTCGAATCGAGGAAAGAATTATATAAATATTCTCGATTGTAGCACACATACAAAGACATTATAATTATATGTGTGTTTAATAGTTAAGTGAATATGTGCGTATTGTTTATTTAAGGTTAAAGAAGTATCTCGAAGACTTATTAAATATATTTGGACTTTTTTCTTCAACGGAGAGACTGAGGGTAAACATATATTTTCAAAGAAATTCCACCTAATCTTTACAACAAAGCGAATCCTCTGTCAATTCAATTTCAACCGCGCAAGAGACGCAAAGTGCTTTTTATTGGAAGAGTGCCAACAATCAGCTCTTGGGACAAACAATAAATTAGTCATCAGTCAATAAAACATAGTAAATTTCGACTGTGCCGCTAACGCCACCAGAATCTTAGCCAGTCGACCTTGGTGTATGAGAAAGCGATAGTTTTACGTGGTGAGATATACATTGACGTACGAGTATCGCCGACGGTTGTCGTTAGCGGTAGTGAAGTAGCGTGTGATGTTGTGACGATGCACCTGCCGTATGAGTCGCGAGGCCGACGGCGCCGCGATATGGCGGAGCTGGAACCTTGTTGGATGCAGACCATCATTGAGAACACTAGAGCTGAACACCCAGATCTCGGTATGTGTATCATTAAACTAGCTATTATTTTATAATTTTAAGAAACATATACTATTGAGATTTTTTTTTAATGGATGAAAATGGAATAGTAACCCCGCTTGCATTATCGGCATACACTGGCGGGGCACCAATAAAAGGTAATAGGTAAAGATGAAGCAGGTCAATTAGCCCATCGTGGTGAATTCATCAAAAAATAATCACTTTAGTTTCAAGGGGGCACCACGTGGAAGTCGACCTGTTAGGGTATAATACTAGTAATAGGTCTGTTGGATCTCATTATTAACAATCCCTATCCCCCCGAACTATTAAGATATTAGGCAAATACACAATAAAAAATATCTATAAACGTTGAAACATTTTCTATAGAAAGAAACAAACGTCTAACTGTTAGTTACGTATAAATTATCATTGTCACGGTTTCATAGTAGTGGCCATGTACGCTGCCCATTCATTTAATCCCAATTCTGATCCTCATAGATCAAATTAATGTAAATAATACATTACAATTGTATACAATTGCTGATTTTTGTAGTCTTATTTCTAACAATAGTGAATTCTAGTTTGAGAACTGCACAATCTCTGTGTGATCCCTGCATAGAATGAGCCACCCTTTCCTTTACCGTGGGTATCATAAGATGCGACTAAGGGAACTTAATGATCGAGGAATGGACAGCAGCGTTTCTCTTTAAACATCACCAGTCTAGCTGCGGTTGCAAAGCCGTCTGCCAAGAATACCAACTACTAGCAAAACCCCCTAAAAGGGAGGCTTATGTTCAGCAGTGGACAGTTAAAGGCGTATATGATGATGATGACGATGATAAACGACAATCTATGTATTGAAGTATATCAAGTCTTTATAACTATAAATACAACGCAATTATTCCGACATACTTCAAAATAATTTGGTACTTCCTGTCCTATTTGTTAAATAAACATATAAACATCATACAAAATTTGGAAAAACCTACGACTAAATATATTTTACACAAGCTATTACCTGATTTATTTATTTATTTTTCTTGAATTTTTATTGCACCGTAAATAAAAATATACAATGATAATTGAACAATTCAAGTGAAATTCAATATTATGTTATTGTATACAGATTGAAATATACACATAAAGATACAAAAGGCGGTGTTATAGCTAGAGCAATCTCTTACAACGTTTGGTTAAAGGAAAATAGATAGAAATGGTCTAATCGTAATTATCTTAGTTAAATAAGTGAACTAACTTTGGTTTTGCTGGAAGAGAACTCTTTTAGAGTTAAGCTCGCCTTCATATATATAATTACTCCTGTCATATTTTTATGACAAGTGTATAATAAAGTATTAAAAAAATAAAAATAACCTTAGATTATATAGATAGAGCAGCGAGTATCAAAAACAGGGCAACTTTTTGTCAGCTAATTGTCAAAATAACTGACTCGATTTTTTATATACTTACGCACACAGTGTAACTTGACGTATCTATATTTAATTATTTAATAAATAAAATGGGTTTTTGCTCATTAAAAAAGTGTAGAATTTATAAGACAAAATAAATATAGAAGTTATAAAGAAATCACTCATAACTATTTATTAGCAAAATTGTATGAAAAAGTTGAATTGCTTTTCTCGAAGCATTTGTATGGAGAAACCCTATCTACATAATTTAAGAATATTACATACCTAATAGTATTAGGTACGTTTTTTTTTTATATAACTTAGAATGGCAAACAAGCTGACGGCCCACCTGATGGAAAGTGGTAACCGTAGCCTATAGATATGAACAGTACCATGGACATAACAGAGTATATTGTTTCGCCCATGATACCCCCCATGCGTTGCCATTCCTGAGGACTAAGTTGTTATACCTCTGTACCCTGTTAAATCACGCCATAACCCACCCTTCAAACCGAAACACAGCCATGCAAACCAAATTAAAAGATTATAAGGAACATTTTACAAATTGGTTAACCAATATTTTAAACAATATAAGTATAATTTTATCGAAAACATTCAATATTCTTTTATCTTCAAACCACAGAGTTACTAACGATAGGAATTTAAACTATAAATAGTTACATCCCTTTATGTTTAGAATTAAGGAAGTCTTGATATGTGTAATAATAGTATTTAATAAATAACGTGACGTCTCTGAAATATTTCGTTTACGTAATATGTATAATAATGTAAAACAATATTTTTTTATGAAATCGATTAAATCAGGATTAGTTCACATTTGGTAATGATATCGTGTAATTTACATAATTTTTTTTTACCACAAAGGTGGTAAACAAGCATCACGTTCACTGTAGCCTATAGACGCCTGAAACACTAGGGGTGTCACGTTGCTGACCTTTATTATATATATTATATTATACAATATTAATATAATTTAAATAAAAATCTTTATAGAATAGAATTATAATTTACTGGCAGGTATAGTTTTTCTGAGCAATTTAAAATAAAACAAAATATAAAAAGTGGTCATAATTTATTATAATTAATTTTTACGTATCATCATATCAGGCTTTAACTGTCCACTGCTGAACATAAGCCTCCCTTTGTGGAGTTTGACAGTAGTTGCCAGGTTGGCAGGCGTTTTGGCTAACGCAATTAGGCTTTGGAGACGTTTTAAGGCGCTGCTGTCCATCCCTTGCCCTCCCTTAGTCGCCTCATGAGTCGACATTCATGAGAAAAGAAGGGACGACCTATATGCCGATACCATACAGAATTTTTTTAAGTATATATTATATTTATGATAATACTAAATATTTATGTAAATATTCATCATATCAGCCATTAACTGTCCACTGCTGAGTATAAGCCTTATCCTATTGGGAGATATTTATGTGTATATTATATTTAATATTCTATTATATTTAAGCTATATAATTATGATTTGCAACCCTAAATATTTCTGTTTAATAACTATGGAGATAAACAAACATCAAATGACTTTAAAATTGGCCAGACGTGTCTGCCAATTTTGTTCAGAATACAAATGTGGAGGAAATAAATGATATTATATTAGAACAGCGTTACTAATGTTCCGCGTAATACTTTCAAAAACAGATATTATTATATAATAATTCTAACAACTTATAAAGTACAAAGTAACATAATATTTTTTTTTTTATTTTTCTTGAAATAATGTTAAAATCATACTCTAACAAAAGACTTCAACGCAGTACGCGAGAATAACCTGTTTAAAAATATCAACTCTCTATATTCCTTCCATTGTACTGATGCATCCATTTTATTTTAATAATTATACTTCCTTTTAATAATTACACCGTATTTTTGCTGCTACATTTCAAACCGAAACATAGCCATGAAATCACAGCTGCTTGACGGCGGATCGACGGGTGAGCCTTTCAGACGATTTCTATGCAGAGTATCCCTTTGGTACATAATATAAGACTCATAAGTTGTATGAACGATGACTGTTCATTTGAATAACACTTGACAGCGGTCCGGAGAACCATTCGAATCTCAACCCTAACCCCTAAATTTTTCCATACATATTTGGATCATTTAAAAATAGTTACCACCTGATTTGTGCTTTGGAAAACACGTGAAACCTTCATACGATAAACTACACACACATATATATATATATATATATATATATATATATATATATATATATATATATATATATATATATATATATATATATATATATATAAGCACATAAATAATATTTTGTTAATAGTATTTGAAAAGAAGTTACCATAGATATTAAAATTTTGCATGCCATTGTTTTGGCAAAACACGCCTGTTCCTAATATATTATTACTAATATCTGTATACCGTGTTTCTTGCAAATAAATTATATTATTATTATTACAAAGGACCTTCGGGTACAACGACGGTGGCCTAGAAACTCTTGATATCAAAGGGTAACAACCTCTCCCGATTAAAATTAGTACTATGAATGTTCAGTTACTATGTACAATAACAACAAACCAAAAGTAATTAGCTCGCAGCTAGAATTTCGATATAAGGGCCGCTACACACCGGTGTGAAGCGTTCACAGTAATGATCACGTTTAATGTGGCCCTAATGAGGTTGGGCTTGTTCAATAAAATTACTTTATATGTTTAACCACTACTGCAATGCCGATGAACTTTATAGCTGCCGTATTACTGAATATGTTTGTATAATTTCATTATAATTATCATTTAGTTAGCTTTTGTTAGCACAGACTTTAATATCTTAAAATTTTAATTTTTTAAATTAAATAAAATTGAAAGTAACTACAAAATGGAGATACCAAGTTCAAAATTAAATAGTATATTTTGTGTACGTTACGCTATTTCTTTGTCTATTCTGAAACGATTTGAATGGTACTTTTTGTCTTTAGTATTTACTCTTAAAACATAGTGATTTGTCAGAATAAATGCCTGTTCTTAATGAATTTTAAATTGTCTTTGAAAGAGCAACCGTTGGATTTCGAATCCAAAATTCTTAGCTGAAACTATATTAAGTTCTGTCACTAAAACTTCAATAGAAAATTTGGGTTTGCAATTTTAAATTAACGTTTATAAATTACATTGCGACCTCCAAGATATCCTAGTACGTTCTCAAAAACTAAGGTATTATGTCTTCGTATCCGATAAATCCAATCCGCCTGCCAAGCATGGCAACTACTGACAAAACTCTTTTTATGGGGAAGGCTTATGTCCAGCAGTGGACAGTTAACGCCTGAAACAATAATAAAAAATCCGATAAATTTCCGTGTGGTCCCGGCATAGAATGGGCTACCCTTTTTTTCCCGTGGGTGTCGTAAGAGGTAACTAAAGGAACTGAATGGTCAAGGAATGGGTAGCAGCATCCTTTCTAAAACATCACTGAACTTAACTGCGGTTGCCAACCTGCCTGCCAAGCGTGGTAACTACTGGCACCCCCACTCCTTATGGACCTATAATCATCACTAGACAGTTAACATCTGTAATGATGATAAGCCGATAAATTCACTGCAATATATTTTCCCTGCAAGCACAACTGCTTTTCAAAACACGATTGGGCCAGGGTTACTCTTAAAGACGACCTTTATAAAGACTCCAGTACAATAAAAATGAGATAAAAGAAGAAGAGAAAAAAGAAGTAGATGGTAGGAGAAGTAGATATAAAAGTATGTTATAAGAAACATGGATGTAACACTCGGCGTCACTCCACGCGCCTTTAGAAACCCTTTATCGCGGGCTGACCGCACTCCCCACAGACTACGGCGCTATAATTTGTATATAGCCTCAGCTTCCGTAAATACAGAAACCACAGTTACACTATTAATGTTTTTTACTGTCACCGAATCCGTTACACGGTGATTTGAAAAAAATATTCGTATAAGTGTGACCGCATCTTAACTCGATTTGTGTTGACTTCGCGTTTAGCACCTAATTTGTTGAGCGCCTCTTATGTCGTCAGGCCACAGAATAAATAGGTGGTAAACTATTCCATTTCTACATACCTTTACGGCTTAGTCATGTAAAAGTCCTTTATTTTTCAACCGAGTTCAATAATTCAAAGTTTCTGAATTCGAATATATTTTCAATCGACTACAAAAAGAAAGAGATTGTACCTCATAACTACAACCGTTCTAAACCAATTTCAAAAATTTCTTTTTATTTGTAAAGATATATTTAGAGATTGGTTTCATAGAAATTTTATTAAAATCTGTTTAGTAGTTTAAGTTTTAGATCAAATTTACTGGTTTTGTCACAAATGAAGTCGATTTTTTGTAGGACACAATCTCTTATTATTTAAACTACTCTATGGTATAGTCTTTTGGTAGTTACTAAAACACGTATTATATATTTATCGATCTAATATAATTTCAATAAAACATAAAATTATTATTGTATTTTACCCAATAGCAGCGGCGATACCCGTCAGCGAAACCATTATTGTTATTAATGATTAATTTCAACAATTTCCTCGTTTTATGATCAACTCGTTTTTACTAGAAGTTACTACTGACACCTATACTTTAATGTAGATATTAATGAACACCATTTTCAACCGACTTCAAAAAGTGGAAGGTTTTTGATTCGCTTGTATTTTTGTTAGTTCGTAACTCTGTCAATTGTATCTCAACCGACTTGGAAAATTCTTCCTTTATATAAAAGGATATGTTTATTTACAGATTGATCCCATAAAAATTGTATTAAAAATCGGTCAGTAGTTTAGTATTAAAGTTGATTTTTTTATGGAAAAACAATTTTTAAATTCAGGAATATATGAATTATTTGTATGTATAAATAATACATTACATCGTATGTATTATATCTATAGCCTATTTAGGTATATCTTGATTCAAACGCACAATATTTTCTAAAAATAATATATATTATTTTATACTGTATACTGTAGTGCCGTGTAGTCCCGAGATAGAATTGAATATAACCCCTTCCTATCCCGTGGGTGTCGTAAGAGGAGACTAAGGGAGGGCGAGGGATGGGCAGCAGCGTCCTTCTTAAAACATCTCTAAAGCTTGGCTACGGTTACCTATCCGCCTGCCAAGCGTGACAACTACTGGCAAAACCCCCCAAGGGGAGGCTTATTCAGCAGTGGACAGTTAAAGGCTGATATGATGATGACTCAATCACTATTGTAAATATTAAAACTGAACTTACTACTACTAAATTTTGTCTAAATTGAACGTGGATAGAAACGACCCTTGTATTGTCTATTTCATGACATAAATATCGGATTAGTAAAATTGGTGCGTCACTAGTGTTTTTCATCACCAGAAATTGAATTGAAACTTAAACTTAATAACGATTTTTTTATATTAGATGCACTTGAACTCTCCTTCTTCTTGTGTTATAAAACAAAATAATAACACTAAACAACGGCGCTTTAAAATTGTACATAATAAATAGGTACCTGTAAGTAATAATTAAAAAACTAGGCAAAATCAAATTCAACAAATTATTGGAATAAATGAATGAATGAATTTTATTGCAAAAAATGTGGTACAATAAGGTCATATGGTAGTATTATAATGGTTTCACACATTTTGTCATTACTGACGTGCAACAGTCATTACATAAGTTATATGACAAAATAAATTTTTAATATGTAATAATGTAATAAAATAACATGTAAAATTTTTAAACTTTAATTGTACAGATATAATAATATAATAATAATTGCAATATAATTATACAGAAACGTCAATCTTTTATGTGTTAATATTTTATATTTTGTAAATATTCCTGGGCACTATAGTAACACTTATTTACTAGCCATTTATGTAGTTCTTTTTTAAATTTATTACAATTTAAGTTTTTAATATTTGTTGGCAGTTTGTTATATATTCTGACTGCCATGGAATAACAATTTAAACTACATAAAGATGTTTTTATTGTTGGTAATACAAATTTACTACAATGTCTTCTAGTATATTTACTAGGAAAGTCTTCTTTATTTTTGAACAAATCAAAATGGGACCTTACAAACTGACATATTTCGTAAAAGTACATACAAGGTAATGTCAGTAAGTTATGTTCTTTGAACAATGGTTTACAACTTGTCCTAGGTGAAATGTCAAAAATTGCTCGTATACATTTTTTTTGTTTTAGTGAGATAAAAACTTTATTTACCTCTACAGAGTTTCCCCACAGTATCAGACCATATCTTATTTCGGAAGCAACGTATCCATGGTAAACATGGATGGCAATTTTTTTACCAGCTACCTTTGTTAATCTCCATAGTGCATAGGAAAAACGGTTAAGTTTATTATATACACTTTCTATATGGTTTTTCCAGGTACAATTTTTGTCTAAAACAATTCCCAAGAATGTTACTGTGTTTGATTAATTTATAACTTGTTCATTACAAGTAACTACGAGATTCGTAGTATTACCACTAAATTGTTTATGAAATTGAATTATATGGGTCTTGTTTAAATATACTTTTAAATTATTTATTTTCATCCAATTTACAGTGTCATTAATAGTATCATTAATATCATTATTATAAAAATTCTTATTTTTTTTTTAATTTGGAATAAATATAGCAATGTTATCAGCAAATAGATTACATATATGTTGAGTTATATTGGGGAGATCATTAATGTAAATCAAGTAGAGCAAAGGCCTAATAATGCTTCCTTGTGGTACACCTACTCTATTACTTTTGCCTCTAGATCTGTATGTACTTTCTTGATTATTTTTATTAGTTTTCGTTATTTCAACTTATTGAGTTCTATCATTTAAATTTAATATTGCTCTATATAAATAAATATATTTAATTTTATAATCAGATACTACTAAGTAATTTGTATTCACGCAAATTCAATATTTATAGAATTAAACTTTTTGAAAAAGGCAACAGCTAAATTTCTTGCCAGTTCTTAGCTGAAATTGTGTTCCGATTAGGCGGAAAGTTTGATGTGGTGTTTTTATAAAAACAGCGGACAATATTTTGATATTTTGATTTTTCATTTAACACTTCTTTACACGAATCTTTTTCTAAAAGGGGCCACATATAAAAAAGAGCACACACTAATAAAAAAATAATACAGAAGTTGCCACCTTCCAAAAACAAGACATCAAGTAAAAAATTGTTTCCACTCATAAAGAATTAATATTTTTATAATTTTATGGAAATAAACTTTATGCTCCAACACTTTCTTACTAGAAATTTGTAAATATAAATAAAATCTAATAAAACTAAATGAAAATAATTTTATTTTTACAGTACCAACTGGCAGCCCTGACTACATGTGCTCAGTGTTACCACAGCACTGGCGGTCGAACAAAACGTTACCTGGCGGATTCAAGGTGGTGGCCCTGGGAGACGTGGTCGATGGTACGCTGGTCACCGTCAGGGCTGGCAACGATGAAAATTGTTGTGCAGAATTGAGAAATAACTCGACAGTAATGAAAAATAGCGTCGCTAAATTTAACGATTTAAGGTTCGTCGGAAGAAGTGGCAGAGGTGAGTCGATATACATTCTAGATAAGTATAACATAAGGCTGTAATATGTATAATAATCAATTAACACAAAAATCTAACCTCTTTATTTTATATACTACTAGGTACTTGAATAAAAAAAAAAAAACAAATATAAAAAAAACAGATTCGAAAAGACATACACAAGCTTTTACAACTTATAATCATTAATAATATTGTAACATTATTCCCGCCATTACTTATCAGCGACTGAAAATACTTAGGCTTTTTAAAAAATTATACAATTCTTCTTGTCAATCATTAACCCTCTCAATTAATCTAGAAGAAAAGTATATCATTCTTCTTCATCTACGCACATAACTTCTACTTCAAGATAATATTTTTTGCATTACATATTATATCACGAATGTATTTTAGCTAAACTATAAAATGTAATTAATTGATCTTACTTTGATTATAGTATAAATATCTAGTAATAGAAGAACCCTACCTATTATTAGATACGATTACCATTCTAATGGTCGTAATAGGAGTAGCAACTATAAACGAAATCCTTAACAATATTACCACCCGGTAGGCAAATCAGAGCCGTTGGTCGATATAACGCCAGAATAACCAATTATTACTCACAATAACAGTTTGTCTGTGTTATTGCCACGTATACCGCCGTACAATTTAGTACCGAAAAACTTCTGGTAGATTCATCTTTAATAGTATTATTAGTGAGTTTGTGTATCTTATTTGTAATATATTTTTATGTAAACCAATAACCACATAGATACTACAGAAAAATGTACTGAAAAGTTAATTGTAGAATCCTTCTAAATAGTATTATTTGTAATGCAAAAATTCTTCATATTTATTTGCTAGGTTATTATAAATAACCTAGTTAACAAATTTTATGAATAAATAAACGATTTCTGTCTCCAGCCTTATTTTATTTTAGTTAACCAATATGGTTAACTAAAATAAAATAAACATACCTAAAAAAACATGAATAAGCAGAAAAATAAACATAGGTAAATATAGATACAATCATATAAGTTTTGGTTATTTATAGTTACTTATTTTCTTTTAGATGTATGTTTATTTCAACAATTTCTTACACTATGGTTGCTCACTCACTACTTACCCGATCGCCTTCTCTCTAATGGAATCACCTATGGGTTTGTTTTCTCTAACTAGATCTAGATCTCATTTAGAGATTGTTGTATTTTTGAGTGCTCAATCAACCAACTCTAGAATTGGATTCCATGGAAACCCACTATTTTATAACAATGTTTTCGGAGAGTGTATAAAACATATAATACATATTATTTAGTGTCGAGGATTATTATTAATTATTAGCAGATATATTAAAGACATTGAAATTAGTTCGCGGACACTGTGATAAAGTAACCAATTATTTAAGAATACATCATGTTTTATCGTATCTTAAACGCCAAAAATAAAAATTAAGCTACAATTTTCCTTAAACAAATGATCAATAACGTCAGTAAAAAATACATATTTTGCCAATAATAGATTTGTATCAGAGCTATCAATTAGGGAATTGCCATTTATTTACGCTTACAAAAATAGTTTTTACGCATTAATCGTTTGGGAAATATACTCGTATGTGTGAGTCATTATAGCATGACTATGAATATACTAAGTGGCATCAAAGGTTTTTAATCATTTGAATTAATGTTGAATTCGATCAGTGATCTCGCATATCAAAATACGAAGTCGGTAGATTTGCCAAGTAAAATCGGTATATTTGAACCGAAAGTCGGTATGTAAAAAAAAAAACATTATTCAATCAAATCCCGTTTATTTTCAACTTTAGGAATTATAATTTCACAATAAAGGGATTAAAACTAATAATAGTGAGCATATATCATAAAAATTAGATGCATTGTTTAAGTATACCCGACAAATCATGATGAAATCGAACTATTAATAAATATATTTCACATAAAAATGTGCCGCCGTGCGATCCCGATATAGAATGGGTCGCACATGCCTTTCATTTGGGTGTCATAAGAAACGACTAAGGAAACTTAATAATCGAGTTGATCATCAAAGCCTATCAGCGATCGCTAACCCAAAGCCAGCCATCGTGGCAACTATTGGCAAAACCTCCCAATAGAAAGAAGTCTATATTCAAGAGTGGATAATTTATGGCTGATATGATATTATGATATATAAAAATGTATACGTTTTAGTCTATTTATATCAATAAATCACCCGAAAAAAGAAACTAATAGGGATGCCAACTTGGAATTGTTGAAAATCGGCATTCTTAGCAATCGATGAAAAATAGCATCATTTTAGGTGCCATATCGGTGAAAATACCAAAAAGTCCGTAAGTTCGAGACCACTGAATTCGATAAACAATTTGTAGGTCAGCGAATATCAGAGAAAAGGCTGACGCAAAGTAGAAGTATGTACGTTTCAATAATTTTATTAATTGGTAAGGCTTAAACTATTATGAATCATATTTTTATGCAACTTAAAATGGCAATCAAGTGGGTCATCTGATGGAAAGTGTTAACCGTCGTCTCTAAACTTGAACAACACAGCAACTATTATAGAATACACTGTAATGCTCACGGTACACCTCTTACGTTGACATTCCTAAAGATTACTGTATTATACATCCGTAATGTCCCTACCTTCTATCTTCTTATCTTCATTATAATTATACGTTATAGTTATAATATGCCATGCATATTATGATTATGATTTTTTATACATTAAACCGAGTATAATAGCTGTCTTGTTATCACCAGTAATACACTAATATATCGACCAAGTCGACATGCATCATAAAATGACTCTTTGACCCCCAGATAGACCGCGAGCTGTCAAAGGGAGGAGTCAGGAGTCTCCGAAAATGGTGTGTATGAATTAGTATGAGTTATGAAATTCATATGAATAACCGTTAGTATTCGATTCTCTCTGTTTACCCCCATAAACGTTCTAATAAGAAGATTGAGAATTAATTATTGTGAATAATATAAAACTATATTCCGCAAAAAAGAAAACAAAAGCCGCAACATCAATCATAATAACATTAATATGAAGCCAACACAAGAGTAATAGGTTTGCTCTCGTTTTGATTTGATTAAGAATTAACAATATATATATATATATATATATATATATATTATACATACATATGTACATATATTGATAAATTCAGAACCTCCTGTTTTAAAGTCCGCATAGAAAAAGTACATTTGGCGGATTTAACGCCTTACGTCAATTGCGAACAATAAATAGCTAAGTGATTACCTTAAAAATATGTTTCCCTATAACCGTTACAAGTCTAAAGGAGTAAAAGAAAACTAAACGGTGCCTCGATTAAGGTCTCATTCGCTTCTTACCGTTCCCCCTTCCCCTCTTTCTGTAAGGCAATAAACAAAATAATCGTTTGCGGTGAGGGAGCGAAGTTTCTAAATCACGAACGTGGAAACTTGCATTTGTGACGTTCGTGTCACTGAATTAAATGACGATTTGTTATCAATTTATAGTGCCATAGAACAAGTTTAGTTATAGAATGAACATCGCATAATAATTTTATTTTCTCTTTTAAAAATACGGACATTGAATAAAATCGATTTGGAATTTGACAAAACTATTCCGCTCTGTTTAATTAAAAAAGAAACATTAAAACCAGTGTGATAATAAATAGTACAGGCAGTCTGGAAGCGCATCCTTTTGGAAATTGCATGTAAAAAGAACCAAACATGTATCTTACGTACATCACTATCAATATGCAAGTATATCAGTCTATTATTTCATATATTTACAAATACTAAACGTAATCTCGTACGTGCACTTGATTCCCAGAGAATAGATAAAAATGGTCTGCTATCAGTAATTGCACAAATTATATTCTTTAATCTAAAATACAAAAAGAAACAAAGTTAACCGCTGAATCTGGGGAAAAGGGATTATTAATAATGGGTCTGCAACCCCAGTGCTACCAATATATCAGTTCGACTTCTACGCGGTCCCCTCTGGAAACCACCGTGGTTTTCTGTGGAATTCATCATGATGGGCTAACTGACCTACTATTTTCCTCACCTATCATTCATCACTGGTGCTCAGCCAGCGTATACAGATAGCACGAATGGAATTGGCATAAAAAAAAACACCTAAGTCAAATTGACTTTCAAATTACCCTTCTCTTACTACTAAAGTAATGCATATTGTTCCTCTAGTCGCTACTTACAATAACCTAGGAATGAAAAAATCTGTAACACTATTCAAAACTCTTCAAAAACAGATTCGTCTCTGGCATTGAAAAACGGTTCTAAATATAAATCACATCCGCATAAAACTAAAAATAACGAACAAAACATGAAAAAAAAACAAAAAGCTCATTCGAAGAAAATCTTGCCGCTTTCACGACGGATCAAGACAAGTCGGATTTTAATTTCCAAACCGCAGGCGCAGTAAACGATGTTCACACTTTACAGTTCCATTGTTGCGCGGCGCGGCCATTACCGGCCCACATGCGTACATTTTGCACTGTAAAATCACGATCGTTTCCACACTGGACATCTTAGAACCTATGTATAGATATTAGGTATTGTCTGAGTTTAATATGTAAAATATTCTAGTTTTATACATATATATAACGTATTTGAATTAAATTTGATTCAGTCTGAATCACTCAGGGTTGGATCGTATTCTAGAGTACAATATATTCTTGCCAAAGGCGTGCTATTCCACAGTTTATAATCAAAGTAGGAAAATAAAATTTATAATTCCAAGAATTAATAACGACGTTATATTATACCAAAAACTATTTCAACCTGTAACCTAATGAACATTACTAAAGAGGTACAGACGTCACAATTGAGAATGTTGTTTAATATTTTAAATAAATGACTTAATTACACAAACTAGTTCTTAGAATTAGGGATAAACAGGATATTGTTAATAGAAACGAGTAAATATTTATATCTAATATATATTTTATACATACATGTTCATTAATCATCAAAATACAAAAATTTTGCTAATCAATTAAAATGTCTACATACACGTACTACTTTAATTTTATACAAATTACTTTACTGTTATATATGTATAATTTTATGTATTAATTTTACAAAGCCTCCACAAGTACATTAAAAACAAATAAGTAATGCCAAATCAAATTTGCAAATATAACCTTGATCCTATTAGCGATTTTTTTTTATATTAAACAAGTTTCAGGTATATGTAATTTTTAATTATTAAATAATTACATACGAGTAAATTAAGAATACTATCTGGTTACGATTACAACCAGTGTGACATTAGAACAATGTTAAGTTAGTTTTTACTAATGGATCGGGAAACAAGTTTTATTGTTATTTTCCTAATTAAAGGTAGAGTTATAATTTTTTTTTAACACCTTAGAATGGCAAACAAGCTGACGGCCCACCTGATGAAAAGTAGTAACCGACACCTATAGACATGAGCAGTACCATGGACATAACAGAGTATTCTGTTTCGCCCTTGATACCCCCCATGCGTTGCCATTCCTGAAGACTCTGGTGTTATACCCTGTAATTCACGCCATATTCCACCCTTCAAACTGAAACACAGCCATGCAAACACAACTGCTTCACGGTAGAAACACGAATGGGACAGAGGTGCCCAGGCAATCGACTTTTGTACAAAGTCTCTCTCTGGTGATATTTATTATATTATGTGTCGCTGTGTACGAGATGCCCAGACATAGAATGGGCCACTCCTTCCTTTCCCGTGGATGTCATAAGAGGCGAATAAGGGAGCGCGAGGGATGGACAGCAGCGTCAAAAACGTCTTCGTCGTCAGCGGCAGAAACATCTATAAAAGCCTATCTACGGTTTCCAACCCGCCTGCCAAGGATGGCAACTAATGGCAAAACTCTTCTTATAGGGAAGGCTTATATTCAGCAGTGGACAGTTAATGGCTGAAATAATAACAATAAAATATTAATTTATATGATATTTATTGATAGTAATGTGTAATTAATAAAATTACGATAACAATCATGAATAGGTCGATGTCTATTGGTAATTAAGTTCAATGTAAATCAACAAAATACCAAAGTCATTAAATAAAATCCAGTAAAATTATCGTGCCAATTAAAATTCCAACTGACATACAGGTAGTAAACACAATTAACAATCCAAATTAATCTTAGTCACTAAAGAAGTCAACCTGTCTCTTTGCATAAAAATATGCTCTCTAGTGAGCCCATTTATAAACAATTCGTGTGTAATATTTACCACAACAGTAACAATAACCTATGCCTCTGACTTCATTATCTCAGTCACCATGAAACGCAGTTATTTTTATTGATCATTTAGATAGTAAGTATGACAAATCAATTACATAATTTCACTTTCAATATAATCACTACTTCATTAACAAATCAATGTTCGATTAAACAGTGGTAACCTAACGGGTTTTTATCGACACTTTTAATTTCGTTTATTGTGTAAATTTATTACAGCGGTAAGAAGATAAATATTATAATTATTTTTTTTTATTTATTTAGATAATACGTAACTTGATAGCTGTAGTGTGAGCTGGTATTCGTTGTGACGTGATCATCAAAACACCGCGTCCGTGATGTGATTTAATTAGATAAGACAGCTTTCGGAGCAACGACGTGCACCAGTTTCGGAGGTTGCCCGTTCCACGATACAATAAGTTGGAATATTAATCGATTCTGAAAAGATTCATTTTATAAGTGTATACTTTCATTAGATTGGTACTTTATATATTTGAATTAAGAACGTATTTTTTTATATGTAACTTAGAATGGCAAACAGGCTAACAGCCTACATTTTTTTTATACAACTTAGAATGGCAAACAAGCTGACGGCCCACCTGATGGAAAGTGGTAACCGTCGCCAAAATATCTTATTCTTAAAGTGACAGAATATCTTATTCTTAAAAGTTTCGTAACATTATCATAGCCATCATATCAGCTTTTAACTATCCACCGAACATAAGCTTGTTGCCAGTAGTTACCATGCTTGGCACGCAGATTGGCATCCGCAGTTAGAGTTTAGAAATGTTTTAAGAGGGACGCTGCTACCCATCCCTCGCTATCCCTTAGTCGCCTCTTACGGTATCCACGGGAAAGGAAGGGGTGGCCTATTCTATGCCGAGACCATACGGCCAATATTATATTTTATTATAATAACTACTACTTTAACTTACGTGTAATTTGATACAGAAAAAAAATTACACGTAAGTTAAACCGGCAGTTATTATATCAAAAAAATATCCATTAGTTGGTTAATTTGCACAGTCCCTTAGTTAGATCCTCGATGGTGAGGATCACTCTATTTAAATGGTTTCTGGCCAAGTGATTTATCTTATGTTAATTAATAATATCTGTGATATCTGTTACCAAATTTGTTCCTCACGTACATAACATGTTTTTATACTAAATAATTATTAACACGTAATGAGTTCCTTAAAATAGGTACCTAATTATTTTACATCTATTTTATACACATACAAGACAATATAGATCCATAAAACTTTTTTTCACCGACAGTACAAGTCACAATATTCAGAATACTGGGGAGAAAGTGATAGTAATGGGGTCAAATAGCCCCATTACTAGTAAGGTCGACCTCCACGTGATTCCCCCTGAAAACCATCATGGCCAATTCTAGTTGAATTTGTCAGGAAGGTCCTCATCAGTCATTTATCACTAGTGCCCCGCCAGTGTATACCGATAGCGCAGACGGGGTGACGAATTCAACAAGAATTGTTCACGATGGTTTCCAGGAGGAACCACGTGGAGGTCGACCTAATAGGGCATATTGCTAGCAATAGGGCTGTCAAACTCCATTGCTAACAATCCCTTTTCTCCCACCCCTTTAGATGTGTTAGGTATCATTAAGATGTTATGTTGTCCAGTATCAATGTTGTGCTCGTGCTATTATTTTTTTGTCTCTACCAATTCACAATTTGTATCATAAAGATTTACTAAAAGAAATCCTTTTTATGGGATAAGACCGCTATTATATTCATTCTTTTCTTAAAAGCTCTGCATGCCATAATTTAAGATTTTACTGGACAATCAAATGTTACGAACAAACTCTGAACACAGATTACCTACATACAGTACAGATTAATAGATATTTACGAATACATCACAATAATGTAAATGAACTTCAGAGCATCGGCGACGCACAATCACGCCATTCCAGTTACCTACTGCATGTGCAGTCGTAATAAAATTGTAAGTACCTAATATTTTTACGTCATACGACAAATCACCAATTACGCAAAACAATTCTAACGCTCTCCATTCGAGCATTGTGAAATAAAATGTACCGCTCGTCGTATTAAGTTGAGAGAGAGCCTCATCTCGAGCGTGTCATCAAATTGAACACATAATTAGGAGCGAGTGGTCGACTCATAAACGGCATGACCAGAATGTGACCAAATCATTTTATGTAGCGGTCATAATCGTATGTCGTCTTTGGGATCGTTTTTTGTTCGTTTTTCTATATACGTTTCTAGGATCTGTACGCGTGAATGGACTCCAATTACTCTAAAATTTGCTAACACATTTATATGTATAGATTAAAAAAATTCACTAATATAGTAATTTCTAGATTGTGGACTTCATTTCGAGTCAAGCAAAAATTTTATTTGGTCTTTATCAAATGTAATTTTATCATCACAACAAACGTCATGTTACATTGTTACATTACACTCATTCATTGTTTAATTAAAATAACTGTTTTTTTCGTCTAAGAAAATATCGTAGTGTATATCATAACAAATATAATAATAGAATTCATTTTATAGTTATTGTTTTTAAGATCCTAAACAGCTTCACGGGCTATGATCATCATCATATTAGCTAGTATCTGGCCACTGCTGTACATAGCTCTCCCCCCTAGACTGCTATAACAAACGGTCCTAAGCCACCTACACCCACTTAATCACTGCAATGCATTTGAGGACGTTATTCTATACACTACACTGCTTTTGCCAGTACAAGTTGAAATTTCTTCGGTTCCTGTCGGTTCTTCGGTTCTAGCTATGTGACTAACCATTACCATTTCAGCTTGCTAATACTTTGGATTATTTCGGTCACTTTGATTTTTCTGCGGATATCCTCATTTTGGATACTATCACGCAAAGAAACTTTCAACACAGCCTTCTCCATAATTCGCTAAGTAACTCGAATCTTTTGCTTACGGGCAACCTTGTAGAACCATGTTTTTCGGTTCCGTAAGTCATTCATTGACCGACGAATCCAAATCGACTGGGCAGCATTCGAAAAGTATGCCACATCTTCTCATCCATAATACCTCAAAATTTAAAGACAAGGGTCTTATCAGTGCTAGATTCGCTCTATAAAGGCGATTCGATTTAGATTCGTCGGTTGACCTCTCAGTCGAAGCTGGACTTGCTGAATCTGACAAGTTATCGTAAGTATACGTACTCGTCGACAACTTCGAGCGTAGTCTTCTCAATTATAACCGAGATAGATATGATATGGACATTAGATAGAGTTCTAGTCTTGACCATGTTCACCTTAAGACTTATCTGTTTAGAAGTACTATTGAGGTAGTTGATTACGGTATTCAAATCCTTCAGGAATTCCGCTAAGAGCTCCTAATAGGGGGAGGCCTATGTTAAGCAGTGGACTGCTAACAGCTCATATGATGATGATGATGGCATGTTATATTTGTAAGTCTAATGTTAAATATGTACATATTGTGATGCCTGTTGAAATCATTGTGGTATTTATTTGATTATAATATATCCAAAGGGAGACTTTGTACAAAAGTCGATTGCTTGAGTACCTCTGTCCCATTCGTGTTTCAACCGTGAAGCAGCTGTGTTTGCATGGCTGTGTTTCGGTTTGAAGGGTGGGATATGGCGTGCATTTACTGGGTACAGAGGAATAACATCTGAGTCCTCAGGAATGGCAACTCATGGGGGGTATCATGGGCGAAACAGTATACTCTGTTATGTCTATGCTCATGTTATGTTATGTTATGTCTATAGGCGACGGTTACCACTTTCCATCAGGTAGACTGTCAGCTATTTTGCCATTCTAAGTTGTATAAAAAAAAAACCGTCTGACCCTAAGCAAATACATATAAGTTTATTAATTGATGTCACGCCAAATCAAATACCAACCACCGTTCCATCTATTTCATCCATGAAATAGCATTTAATTTATTGTTTTTAATCTATATATAGTCTGTAACACAAATGACATAGGATACTAATAGTGGCTTATAATCTGTGGTATTGGTATGTTAGTAAATAATTTCAACGACCTTGGTGACCTAACGGCTTAACGGCGGTCGCGGGTTCGATCCCCGACCATTACAAACATAAGTATTAATCATTGTTTCTATGTATTGGTCTGGATATTTTCTATATTACAGTAGAATCTCAATTATTTGAATCAAATAATTCCAGGGCTATTCCGTATAATCGAATCCGGATAATCAATTTTAAAATCAGATCAAACAATAATATATTTTAATATTTTTTTATTATGTAAATATGTTTTATATATGTTATTTAGACAATACAATCTTAAAAAAATACGAACTATAAGGATAATGGATCACATAATACCTATTTACCCAATTAATACATAATACCATTTCTAATAATTAGAGCCGTGATTAATAAGTCCGAATAATCGAATATTCAGATAATCGACGGTCAGATAATTAAGCTTCTACTGTAATATAATATATATTTGTAAAAAAAGTATCTAAGAATGTCTATAAGTTGTATCTCTACTTAGTTTGAAACTAGATGGCGCTGTATAATATATACAATGGTAGAAATTATCATGTTACAGGCGTGACAGATATGTATGTATGTATGTAGAAATTATCATGATAACTACCTACCAGCTGGTAAGAACTTCACTTCTTATTAGCTAGACTGTCATTGGTTCTTTCAGTAGTATAAAGAAATTACAGTAACCAAACACATTCAGATTATTTTACTGTTTTGAAATGAATATGCTTTGGTATCTTCCAATGAGAGACGACTAAACATAATCCTATCCGTTGATATGCTTCAAGTACATTATATTACCTATTTATATACTCTAGCACCAACAATACAATATTAAGAACCGTTGATTGCATCCATCTTGTCCCAAAACGATAAACCGATAGTGTTCAGCTTTCATCGAGTCTTAACAGTCCGCTTCGCAATATATTCTAGGCATCCACGCAGCAGTGTTCGAGAAACCACAAAATATTTTCCTGAAAAACATGTCGTATAGGTACGTGCATTTGTAGCTTCAGAATGCGAGTCGCCTTACTCACAAATGTCACTGAGGATTTACGCTCTGTCGTAAATCAAGATGGCCGCCGTTCCCTCCCTACACTCAGCCCACCTGCGCCTGAGCACAATAATTGAATATTTCACGCGGCTCTCTCAACACCTCTCGGGAGATGATCGTTGCGATACAATGTTATGTTTTATAGCTCCGCGCGTATTGTGTTAGACCCTAAACTGTTGATGAGTGATCATGCGAAATGCATTAAGTTTAGCGATTTTAAAAGCAATATTTCATATTATTCGAGACATGAGTTTAGCGAGCAACGTTTTATGATGATTTGTTTCCGTATTGAAACTCGAGTTACAACGTCTGCTTTACTTTGTGAGAAAAAAATAGTGATATCGAAGTATCATAGAGATACGAGATATGAGAGAAGAGAGTATAATAAAACTAAATTGATAAAAAATCAAATCATTATATTATTTATGGTTTTAAAGGGGCAGGAAGTAACGCGATCATTTAGGTAAATTATAATAGTTTACTTAAATGATCGTTTTTTTTTAATCATAAATAATGCACCGCAAAAGTCAAAAAGTTATGTTGTTTTAACCAGTAAATTTACTAAATTTGTGTACGTCTACTACTTATTCTAATATATAGATATATTTTAAACCACGTTTATTTCCTATAGTTTGATTCAATAAAATGTAAGTAAACAAGCCTTGTTGATACATAAACATTTTTTAAATTAAGTTACTGACAGGTCAAAATTATCAATTAATTCATAAATTTTTCACTTGTACTGCTATCGCAATGTCCAGCGGTACGATTACAAGTAAAGGCAAACTGCTTTTACTTTTTTTTTTATATTCTCATCAAATTCGATTGTAACAAACTATAATTATGGTTGTTGTGATCTTAACAAATAAGTAAACCAAAACTCTATGAGATATTATTAAATATAACACACTGGCATCGAGCTATGTAGATTGACAACCTAAACACATCTCACTAAACTCACGACTAAAACTGTTCGAAATCAGTCATTTAATCCAAATCGAGTGCACAGTACACGCGAATTATCTGCATTAGACATGTTAATCCACTCATTTTAACTGTAATTTTATTCGGTATTTATCGGTGCATTCATTACTGCTGACCGCAAATCGCCCTCCCAAAAAGCTCGCTATTTTCCATTCGTGTTGTTAGGGAATATTCTCATATGTAGCCTAGTTTGAACATAATGTACAGTTATTAATTATATTTAATGGTATTGATTAACTGGGTAACTTAATAATTAAATAGAGCTGCCAACGTTATAGGTAGTTAATTATTTACAGGACCATTATCAATTAATTGCGATCTGTATGTACTCTTAATTGATGTACATAGGTAATTAAAAGACATTATTAAAGTTATTGGACATCAACTTGTTTCAATGTACCTTAGAAAGATTTAATGTAAATTTAACTTATGTCAGCCCAGTGAGTTATAGAGAAGGCTATGCTCGGAGTTTATTTGTGTGACAGATTCCAAAATGGGGATATTCACAAAAGAACCATAGTTATCGACATAGCCCGAAGGATAAGCAAGCCTAAGGCAGTAGTCTGGTCACATAGCTCGAAGAACAAGACAACCGATAGGGGGAAAAGGTTCTTGAGTGGCGACCCCATACGGGCAAACGCAGTGTAGGATATCCCTCCACTAGATGGATTAACAACTTCAAATGCATTACAGAGATTCAATGGGTGGCGCAACACTGTTCCTTGTGGCAGTCTGTGGAGGAGGCCAATGTTTAGCAGTGGACAGATAGGGGATGAAATAATGATGATAAGCTTATACACAAACTATACAGACGGTGTGATTTATAACATATATTAATTGATTACTTAGAATGAATAAATTGGTAGTGATCTCTTATTTCTGACCAGGTGGTTTTACGTCAGACAGACAGAGGCCGGTCTTAAAACCAAAAGTAATATTGATAAAAACATGTTACGCCGACCCCAAATATGTAATTGGAATAAGGGCAGGAAGATGATACACATCTTGTTTTATTTGACATAAGATTGGATTACTCAAGATACAAGTATACTCACGATTGATAGATCAATATATTTATACTACATAATACTTATATGCATATATCATTTAATGCTTTGATTAGCAAAGTTATCAAACTATAATATATCATATAAGATACCCTTTACATTATTTCAGGTTTACAATATTCATAGGCTTCTTCGTAAAAATAACTATTAAATCTAATTACCTTAATATTTGAATAGAGCGTTTTCAATCACCTCATTTGTTTCAGGGAAAAGTTTTTCTCTAACAATAACAATATCAACGAATCCACCTCAAGTAGCAACATACCAAAAAGCAATCAAAGTCACCGTCGATGGGCCGCGGGAACCACGGTCTAAAACAAGTAAGTATCATACGAGTATCTTACTGATTCATATATTAAAATTATAAATAAATATAAGTATATGTAAGATATTTAAAAAATATATATATATTGATATGAAGGGTCTTAATAAGAGCAATAGAAACCTAAAACAATAATTTGTTTAATAATTTTGTCTGACTATTTGTTTGTTTCGGCATCATTTAAAAACTACTGTATCAAATTAGGTATGGTTTTCATAATTGTATTTCTAACGGTATAGCTTTAAATTGATTATATGTGTTATTATGATATAACATCTACAAGTGATATATTTTATTAGTTTTCTGACCTTTGAAATTAACATGTATGAAGTAGTAGACGGAAAGCTACTTTGAAACTATTATATTGTATATTTATATCGTCCCTCTTAAAATATCATGCGAGACAACTACTAGCAGAGCCCCCATTTGGAGAAAGCTCATATTCATCAGTAGACACTAGACGGCTAATATGATGATGGTAATATGGTATCTTTTTTGTCAGTATCATTTCTATAATACAATCATTAATAAACCATAAATTAACTTTATATACGTAAATGTGTTAGCCAATCATCATAAACAATCACAATCATTAATTAGAGATTAGAACCTGTTGTTCCAATCAGAGCTGTATGAACAAAATGCAATTATAAAATTAAGTAAACGAAAATATACTTTTAAAAAAATAATTTTAAGCGTACCTGTTAAACAAAATTACACCTTGTCTTGGAATTCGATTAAGACGATAATCGAAACTCAATGTTGAACACAATATTGAACTCTGCTGTATCCGCGAACATTGATGCTCCTTCCACTTTGGGTTTGCTGGAAGAAAACTCTATTAGAGTTAAGCTCGCCTTTGTACTTTTGATTACCTCTGTCATATTCTTATAACTAGTGTGTACGATAAAGAATTAAATAAATAAAATAAATAAATTTAAAAAATTGTTTCTCTATCGATATTTTTTTAACACGGAATATTCATATTTGTTCACTTATCATCGCATAATTTCATACGCGATACTGCATGGTAGGTATATACTTACTGCGGTCGTGATATCACTATTTGATAATATTTTCTTCCCACGGAACTAATTTAGCAAACATTATTTTGTGTCTAAAATAAACTTTTGTTTTACATACATTTATAATTGAGTATGACAGTGAAATTACAGGTTTCGGAGGCATATATACTTAGTTTTCAGGAATAAGAACGCATTTTTTTTAATAAATGATAATGGAGTCGTTACCCCGCCTGCGCTATTGGTATACACTAGTGAGGTACCAGTGAGAAATGATGGATGGTGATGAAGCAGGTCAGTTAGCCCATCCACGGGCATCTTCAGTATATTCTATAATTCCATGGTGCTGTTATATCTACAGGTATCGGTTCTCACTTGTGTTCTCGCAGAATAGATTGTCAGTAATTTGTACTACCAGTCACATTGCTTGCAATCTGCTCTATAAAGTCGACCTTTACGTGGTCCCCCCTGGAAACCATTGTGCTAAATTTCAGGTATGACCATCACGATAGGCTTACTGCCCTGCCTTTTCATTCACACCTATCGTCCCTCACAGGTGCCCCGCCGGTGTATACCGTTACCGTAGGTGGGATTCATTTCATTATCATTCATTATAGATCAGTTCCCACTATAGGTCTGGTATTTTAAGTTGAAATAAAATGCTACCAAAGTATGTACAATATTAATATTTCATATCTATTAAAAACAGGTGCACTTCCATAGTATATTGTTTTTTTATGAATTATTCTTCAGTTATTTATCTGTCAAGAAACATTAATTAGTGAAATAAAAAAGACCGTCCTCTGCCATTTTGGTCCGGTCACGCGAAACTAAACTGTTCAAAAAGAACATGAACTATCGACGAAATTGACTTAAAAACACGTTACGCCATATGGAGTGGCAGTGCCACAGAGCCGGCGGCAAACAATAGTGAAATTATATCCGTAATAAGTTGCACTCACGCACGGAACACAACTGCTCCCGAGGTGCTCTTTGTGATCCTGTGCCGATGGAAGCTACTTCCATTTCGTATATCCTTATTAATATTATAAATATGAAAATTGCTATACGACTGAAAAAATTTGAATAAAATATATTTTAAAAGTGTTTACAATGTATAAATATAATCACAGCATCCTGGCATTGATATCTATTCGAGCGCCTTTCTTATATATGCTCGAGCATAATTAGATTATGCTCGAGCATATATAAGAAATTTATTCCATCCGTTGAGAAGAATAGAGCTAGCAAAACAGGCTCCTCTTCCACTAGCATTGATTTTGTTCAACGGTGTCATGAGTCAGTGTCCGAACTTTAATATATTAACTTATAAACTTGTCGAGTTTCACAGAATAGCAATAAATTATTTAGAAAGTGTTCAATAATTAAATTTTATTACGTTTTATATACAAATTGATAAAATATCAAGCTTTCTTAGTTGGTAAATATAATAAATAAATAAAATTTTCTTCATAGATAGATCATATTCTAAATTATATGTATAATGTGTGAGAATAATCACGTGATGTAGCTAGTTATATATTATAATATATTTAACAATAACATTAAATTGAATCCCTCTAATATTACAAATGTAACACTTTACAAAAATGTTTGGGTGTTCATTACTTAATGCCACTGTAAGAGTTACACGAATTTGAGTAAAGTTTAACATATGGATAAACCATAGCCTAGATTATGCCATGGGATATTGTATATGTATACAGATTCAGATGACGCCAGATGAAATTACAAAAAAATTATATTGAATACTAAATGAAACAAAATTATCATAAATGTTAACTCAAAATATAGATCATACACACTTGTATATACGAGAATACACACATCACACATGTTTCCCATTGAAATAATCAGAAACAATGCAACACCAAATGCTCCATTGTAAACAGAATTCTTTTGCTTCCTTCACATTCGAACACCCTCTCTGGATATAATAGGGTATATAATCTATTGCAATAGAACTTAACAAAAATGTTTACAAATAAATTATTGTCCCGATCATAAGACAATAATAGTTGGTGTTGTGGATGACCATGGACGGCTGTAGTCACTTACCATCAGGTTAGCCGCAAGCTCGTTTGCCCCCTGTGTTGTAAAAAAAAGTACGAATCAAAAGTTTCTGTAATAATTTCAACAAAATTTGTTACTATTTCATTAAATATACAATTCAATTTTTAAAAACCATTTCAATATCAAATTTCATTAAACTCCTAGAATACACATTACACTTTATCTTAATTTACGCAGCAAAGTCGCGAGATACAGATACATTATACTTGATGAGCTAAATATATACAATTTGCTGGTAAATAAATTCAGACATATTGTTTATGTGACAATAATACGTAATTGTTAATTAAATAGATATACATTTTAATACAGCCTATTCATTGTGTATTATTATAATTCATCAAATATTATTTATTTATATACTTTATACATACTGGACACGGCTGTGGTGGTATTTTCTAGCATTTAAATTATTGAATTTATATTAATACTAAAAACAGAGGATTATATTAATATTTAAAATGAAGTAGTGTCATACTCGTACTTACAGAACCAGAGTATAGGCAAAACCTCCTTTGCTTATCAATGTTAAACGTTCATTCTCATTTCTTTTAAAATAATAATATATAATTTAAAGACCAATACCAAAAGAATAAAAAACAATTTTTTTATTTAAAAATGAAGTAGAAAATATCTGACTCTAAAATAAGTACTTATTACTTATTTTTTACCAGAGGGAGACTTTGTACAAAAGTCGATTGCTTGGGTACCTCTGTCCCATTCGTGTTTCTACTGTGAAGCAGTTGTGTTTGCATGGCTGTGTTTCGGTTTGAAGGGTGGGATATGGCGTGAATTTACTGGGTACAGAGGAATAACACCTGAATCCTCAGGAATGGCAACGCATGGGGGGTATCATGGGCGAAACAGTATACTCTGTTATGTCCATGGTACTGCTCATGTCTATAGGCGACGGTTACCACTTTCCATCAGGTGGGCCGTCAGCTTGTTTGCCATTCCAAGTTGTGTAAAAAAAAATTTATATGTAGAACTACCACAATTTAAACACATTTAATAACACTCCATTAAGTGAAAGCTATCATATCATTCCAACTGATACGTTATACCACGATACGAATAATTATTTAAACTCGAGAAACAACCTCCTTTTTTCAGCTCTCGGGTAAAAACTGAACTCGCAAAAGGACTTTTCTATTCTGATTTTTTAAGTTAATCATTTGATGTGTACCTTTCAATTAAAATACTTATTACAAGAATAAAAGCAGTAAATCCAGCTTAATGTACAGATATTAAACAAAGAGTAGAAAGGGCAAACAAAAGCGAGTAGGTACTTAACGAATAAGCCCCAAACTCCACTGGACAAGAAAGGAAGATCTCGCGTGCGCCGGGACTTAAAAGTTTTAGTAAATAGAATTAATTTGTAGGTGCCCCGGAGTAAGCCGCTTCCAGTGACCCTCGTTTGTGTTGACTACGACAAATATCGAATATCGATGAAATTGCAAGAAATAAAATATTTCATTATTATTATTTTTAATCAAATACAATTTATGACGTATGATGGTACATAATAATACTACTGAAAATAAAAAATACTGTACAAACAAATATTGAAAGTAATAAGGGCACACAATAGATATACTATTATAATAATATAAATAATAATAATTCCAAGTAACTAAACCAAATCCTGTATATCTGTGACCTCATCATTAGAATTGTGAAATAATTATAAAATCTTTAAATATCTATTTATAAGATTTTTCGTTCTAATTTTGAAAGTAAAGTCATTTCTATTTCTCCATCAATTCATAAAAAAATGAAATTACATACAATTACAAAATAGATATGAATTACAATATTATACATATATATTATAATGAGAATTATTTATATTCCTAATATCGATATTTTTTTTTACATTCACCACATATCACATCACTAGATTCTCCGGTTCATAATAAAAATTAACTTCGTGTTTTGTTTGAGTCGATTTCACAACATAATTGCGGTATCGATATATTTTGTATTGTGTAAACTCATAAACTAATTATGTGCATATTTTTTGCCGGATATCTACGGGTGCCCAAATAATTGTGGCGGCGCCCCTCAAACAAAGACCGTTGGGACCGACTCAGGCCAATTTGCTGAATCTAAAAAAACACCTTTCATCCCTAATAAGGTGATTGATACATAGTTATATATATGAAGTACGAAGCAGGAAACGTCATTCATGAAAAATAATAGATGAGAACTTTTCGATAAATAAAATACCTCTTATTATGCCACACTTCCCGAGATAACGCATATATTATACTGATATATCGATTTCAATATAGCTAATTAATATTGTTATAATTAATTTATTTTCAAGCTAAGTTCCTCACGGGATGAGCAACGAGAACCAAATATATATAAATATAATAATGCAAGTTCTTAATTTGGAATTATATATTCATTATTAATTATATTGTTTGATGTTTTAGGTACAAACGTATCCCCTCATCCAATTCGGAGTTTCGGGTTTCAACGAACGCTGATAGACTCGGCACTTAGAGATATGGAATACAAAAGCTCGCCAGTCAGAAGTATACGCTCGCTATCGCACGAAGAGAGAGAATACAAGACAAATGCGAATCTGCCTGTGGGAGGTAAATTATTATTATTTTTATATTCCATATTTACAATTTAAACAGAACAGAACACTATAACTTAAGCTGTCTACAAACGTCATGATTTGACTCACAATCAGCAGAATCGATCATTAAGGTCAACCTCTCTTCATCGTCATATGAACCTAACTAACCCACTTACCTATTTTTGATCATCTCTATCAATCGTATGTGACATTCATAAACAAATTCCAAATTTTAACATTTCCACATGTTGGTCAAACTGGATTCGAACCCGCATTTTACTTTTTTTATGTCGAACTGTAAGGTAATAAACGTATATATATATATATATATATATATATATATATATATATAACTCAATCACTATCGATATAGTCGTTTTTTTACGTAAACCTAACTCATTAACTTGCATGCCAATTTACATGTGAATTTACTGGATAGAGAGGAATAACACCTGAGTCCTCAGGAATGGCAACGCATGGAGGATATCATGGGCGAAACAGTATACTCTGTTATGTCCATGGTACTGCTCATGTCTATAGGCGACGGTTACCACTTTCCATCAGGTGGGCCGTCAGCTTGTTTGCCATTCTAAGTTATATAAAAAAAAACAATTTATTATAACTCTAGACATAAGATATTTATAAGTTGTTACGTTTATAAATACCTTCATTAAGTACTTTTATTCAATATTAAAGTTAAACCTTGATCCAGAAATAAGTTGTAAGGTTATCCTTTTACTTTGTACCCACTTAGTGTTATTTTTACTGTGCGTACAGTAGTGAATGAATGTTTATTTTTTATATTTTGTACTGAATATATATATAATATTTATACCAAAATATACTATATTGATTTTTATATTTTTAAGATTTTAATATTACTTTTATTCTGATTAAATACTGAAGAACACCTGCAAAATACTTGTAACAATATATCAATATACCGAACAAAAAATGAGCTAATAAAAAACAAAACTAATTTGACATAATACAGTAAATCATGGCAAACAACAACCGTCAGACAGATAGCTAATTTTCTTGACGTAATTATGTCCTAAATAACTGTAAACGGTGGGGCTGCTAAATTTATTAATATCCGCGCTCATTACCGCTGCACCGCTCGGCGCACAATCACGGCCCTCTAACTGCCGCCTTATTTGCCGACGAGTTGTAATGCCACCGCTAAATAATCGTATAGACAGTCCGCTCGAACATTTAATGGCTTAGAATTAAAAAAAAAAATTATGTATTAAAAAAAAAATTTATGTATTCTAATTTAGTTAGTGAAAATTTTTAATAAAATCACAGTAAGTGAATTAATCAATACAGCAACAATATAGTCGAATTTAATAACTTTGTCCTTTTAGAAAACAGATATTTATAAACCGATTAAATATAATAACGCCTATAATTTCTAATAGGACAAATATATTTAATTTGTTCTAGTATGAACGGATATAATCTCTATCCGAAACAGCACTTGAGGGTTTTCAAACTTAACAAATATATATATATGAGAAAAAAGGGGGACATAAATACATATTATTATAGAAATGTTACCCACCGTCAAAAAGTGTGATGAATTTGAAACTAAACCTAAAATAAGTTACAAATAATCAAAGGACACGATATAAATAAAGTTGATTCTTTACCGTAAATAATTAACCTGATTTCTGGACGTCTTATTTTTTCAAAATTAAAGATTTCGGTACGTTGCGTAGCGGTTGCGTTGCGGTAGCGTTGAAACATATTTTTATTGACTGTGCTCTTTTTTTAATAACGTTTTTTTAATAACTGCTAGTATTTTATATCAATGTATATATGGATAGCTAATCTTTATTGTTCCCTCCAAAAGATTATTAGAAATGAGTTTTGATAGTGAATGAAGCAAGAAATGTGACGCAGTGTGAATTCACCACACAAATCCATCCTGAATGGGCAATAATAGTTAAATAAAAAAGTTGTTCCACTCTACTGGCTCCAAAGCTCGGTCTAAGCTGTGGGGCGTTTACAAGGCAATCGCAGCAGCGGCTTTCATCAGCGCGGCGGGCAATCTGCGCGCTCTAATGACGCGACGGTCATTACGCACATTACAGCGCGCGCTTGCGCCCGTTCATGTCAACTCTAACGCTTACTAGCTCGTTGGGGAGTGGGAAATTAATCCTAAATCTAATTTACATGCTATATACTAGCTGCGCCCGCGACTTTGCCTATATGATAGGAACGTAGTAAATGGCGTCATAAATAGTACATCATAAACCTCATAAATTCCTTTTTTCATTCTTAAATACCATATATAGGTGGGGTATTGAGTTTAGTGACCCCATTGCTGGTAATACCCTCTCAGGTCAATCTATAATACTGTCACCTAAAAACCATCGTCATCCCTGTTGAATTCATCACAATGGACCGACTGACCTATCGTTCCTCACTAGTACTCTGCCAGCGAACCAATATCAATAGTATATGCGAGGTTGTCACTGGAATCAATCCATTTTAATTGCAAATAAAAAAAATACGACGTGTATGATAAATTTCATGATAATTAGGTATTTGAGTTGTAAAGGTACCAGGTAACAGATTTATAATAAGTTTGTGTTTGTAAAAACTAAAAAGATGATTTATCATTATGAGTATGTTTGTTTCCAGTTAACTATCAACTGTGGGATACGTGTTGTTACGAATTTTAAAAATTCAATACTTATACTAAGATTTCATTTTCGAATTTCCGAAACACAATTCCAGCCTTTATTGGCTATCTAAAAAGCTATCACCGCTTATAAAGTTCACTTTAAAATAATTTAAAATGTAATCAAAAAATTATATTAATTTATTAAAATATGATACCTATACCTATACCTATGAGCCATTAAACAATATAATATGCGTGCGTACTAATTTACGTCATAAATCCTTATCGAATGTAACTTAAAATAGATTTTATTAATTTTTAAATAATACAAGTTACCAACCATGTTTTATTGGAATTTGCTTATTGAAGGCTTTTCGTGCTATATAATACATTTTTTTTAATTGCTCTATACTTATTGGCATATGATTTTAACATTCCAATATCTAATTTTATTAAGAAATAAAAAAAATTGATTCTCAATTTGCCTATATTTTTTCTACATAATGTTACGTGTAATATCACCAATAATTAACCAATTTTAATAGATAGATTAATATCGTGCTAGTCGAAGGGAGACGGAATTGTTAGTAATGGGGAAAAGTGGCCCCGTTATATTATTAGCAATATACTCTATTAACTCCACGGCTTACTTTCTGGAAACCATCGTAGATAATTCCTGATGAATTCGTTACGATGGGATAATTCGTCTAAATTTTATTCTCACCTATTATCCCCCATTAGTACCAGTCAGCGCCAGCCTATACCAATAGCGCAGGCGGAGTTACCATTTAATTTTCTATACTACAAAAAATATATTCGGACTCATTGCTCCATCTATTAGGGAGTTACCTCCATTGCGTTCACCTATACGAAAGACTTCAACTTCCTCATAAATTGACGGTATTTGAAGCTACATAACTGGCATATTGCCTATTCAACTTACTTGTACTCTACATTATATTAGTTTTGGTTGTTCTGCGTATATCCCCATTTTGGATTTTACATAACGAAACTCTGAGCATAGCCCTCTCTATAGCAACTTGAAGCTTCCTCGCCAATAAAAGTGTAAAATCAGGTTTCAATTTTGTAAATAATTTCTTATTACAATAATAATATTATATAATTTGTTTTATTTTTTTTTATTTAACAGTTTATTGTAGCAATATTACAGGAATTGTTGAAGGATTTATCCTTTTACTTGAACTGCTATAAAATGCTACTAAGTCTAGAAAACACAACACCACTAATAAAAAATTTTAGCTTTTTTTTCTTTCTTTCACGGGTACAAAGCCGCGGGCAACAGTTATGAGTTATATAAATAACAATAATATTATTTGTTAATGTATTTAGCATAATATAATGTCAATAGAGATATATTCTATAGGCACAACTATGATTCACTTATTACGTTGAAGCACAAATCCCAATGAATCATAATCAAACAGACCTAAAACTAATCGTTGTACTGTTTTATATATTATGTATTTACATATTAAATGAAAAATAGATAGTCCTGTTTCGTTAGTCACTTATTATTAGTTTTTTTAATCCACACTTCTATTATTTTAATCAAAATATAGACACATATTAACTTAAAACGTAATACAGAAATACATTTTGTAAATTGTTATTAGCCGCATATTAGCATATATAGGTAACAGTGATACTTTAAATATACATATATCAATAAAGACTTTGTTTAAAAAACAGAAGGAGATCCTAAATATATTTATTTACACGACACATTTAAGCCAATCTTTTTTCATTTATAGTTTCTGAATTCCATTTGAAATTTCTCGGCCGAACGAAACATAAATTTGATGTTAAAATTACATAATACATATCGTTTAAAATTTTTAAGTTATATTTACTAGGCCGATTCTGGTATGAAAGAAAACACGAAACTGAGTTCCAAAATTTGAAATTTCATTTCATGGTACACCCTCAGAAGCTATAAACGATCATAAACAATGACGTACCTACGCTACGTGATGACGTGTACAGTGGCGGGGAGTGGGCATTGGGGGTCCAGACAATCGGAACCATCCAATTATATACTGATGAAACACCTTGCCTGCCATTTCGATTGGCATTCTAAAGCCATCTAAGTCATTGCTTCATTTTTTATTTATGACTATAGTATTATTAAGGCATTAAAATATGAGGAACCGATCCAGACTTTATTAGGCACGTATTATAATATTTTTTTTTATTAATTAGTAGTAGATAGAAAAAATATTATAATATATAAATACTGTATACACAAATGCTAGAACTATATATATATATATATATATATATATATATATATATATATATATATATATATATATATATATATATATATATATATATATATATATATGGACGCTGGAAATTCA